ATAATTCCATACAGAATAAATGATGTGCTTATTTTTCAAATCAATAGCATTTGTATATATAGAGTTAACATGTACATATGACTGCAACAGCTGCTGGTGGTCTCAGCTGTATTTCACCATGCTCTGCATTATATTTAATCCTTAATGCTGCTCTCTCTATGAAAAAGGGTTAACATAATTAGGGTAAAGCTAGACCATTATACTGTGTGAAAAGATGACACTTGTCTCATATGGGCCTATCAACAAGTTACCATTACCTCAGCAAAGCTCATCTGTCAGCTGTCTGAAGCCTGTTCTTTTTAAGTAATAACATGCAGGAAGCATTTCACCCCTCTGCCAGTCAGGCGGCAATTGCCCTAACTGCCTTACGCTTCAGTGCTTCTAGTTAGGAGTCTCACACCCATCTCCTTTATTAGAGGACTCAGCAGCACTGCTGTTCTAACAAGGATCAGGCAGCAGGATTAAGCACTGTGACAAAGAGGACCTAATAAGCTAGGAACTGGTGCATCTAAATCTTTGCTAGCTGGCTCAAGACAGACTTGCACTGTTCTCTATTCAGTTTTAAGGCACAAACCACTAGGGAAGCAAGCCAGCACTGTGATTAGCAGTAACCCTTTGACCGATGCTGCTATGAAGATCATATATCACTCAGAAGCTTATTCTGCAATTGCAAATTGGATTTTTCATTTTACTACCTGCAAAAGAACCATATGCATTTCTCTCCAAAGCCACCAAACACAGTAAGCATTCACTAACCATTATAATTCTGTAAGTGTTGTATAGAGATAAAAATGATCAATCTGTGTACACCCAATATAAATAGTTAAATTCAGTGAGGCAAATTTAGCCACGTTACAGAGCAAATTCAATTTTGCTTATGGAAATGAGTTACATATTTCCAAAATCCCAGCAGGAAGGTTCTTAGCTGAGGAGTCCAATCTTGAGTTGGTTCAATAATTTACAGCCTATACCAAATAAACTGGGGAATGCTGCCTTAACTTTCTCTCACCTCCTCAATGTAAAGTTCCTGCTGTAGATTCTAAATATCATACACTTCATTTAAATTTAATCAATTTAAAGACATGCCGTGCTGTTGAAGTGAAAGGATATTACAGCAAAGAGAGGATCCCTTAAACACAACAAACTGTTGGTGTGTGCATTTGAAATACACTATGTAAGTTTTCCCCTGCCACTGGCTTCACAAAAATGTCATATCTAGTTATAACGCTTAGGAACACTGGGTCTATGTCTATCCTAATCCCTGCCCTCTTTTTGAAGTAATGGATGAAGAAGCAATGCCCATAAACAGAACACTTTCACCAGAAAGATTGTACAAGCCGGCAGGAGAAGAATCCAACAAGCTTTACCACTGGACTCATGGTAGCATTGCCAAAGTGATACCCACATAACTTACATAAGACGTGCACATGTATAACTGCAACAATGTCCATGTTCTTGTATGTTCACAGATAAAATATTTGCAGGTGCTTACTTTTTCAGTGCAATAAACTGAACCAAGTAGGGTTGAAAAGCAACATTCCAAACATAATCCTAGTATGGGACAGTGCTTGCAAAAGCTCTTATGCTACTCTCTCTAGTACTGGGGCTCTGGGTGGGAAAATGGTCAGGGCAGATGTGCTCGTGTATGTGTAATTTAAATGTTATAAGTAGAATACTATCCCATAGCCTTTAAGAAACACATATACTGTGCTAAACAGATCACGCCAAATTATTTGGATATTTTTAGTAAGTAAAAACACAAAATTGCCTCTGGGAAAAATTCAGTGCTGTAGACTGAAACAAAATGTGAGTGTTGGAGATTGCATTGATTATTTTTGTTTTGTTCTACCCATGTACATCACTCCATTTAAATAGTACTTGTTTACCTTATCACAAACAAAATATGGTTATTCTAGCAGATTGTGAATGACTGCTAGAGGCTTGGGCCCATTGCCTCACTTTTACACCAAGTGAAGTATCAGAAGCTCTGCTCCTTAAGACAGTGCTTCCATAGATGGGCAGCTGGAAAGAAGAGAATACACCAAGTTTTACTCTCATGTAAAGTAGTCCCACTAGTAGATCTTTTGCTGCCGCTACCATACTTTTAAAGAGGATTTTTCTTAGCACTGAGCTGTTCTATTTGAATGTAAATTTATAAATATAATTTGAAATTAAAACTATTACCCCTAATTATCAGGTTCTGAAGCCCTGATTCACTTCCAGCAAAAAACAAAAAAAACCCAAAAACCAATCTCCATAACTTTGCACCTTGAGTAACTATTTACACTGGGGTAAAATGATTCAAAGTTGATGTAAAAAAGCTACCCGATAATATCAAAACAGCAGCATTTTACATCCACTTTACACAGGAGCAAAAGACTATTTAAGATCTGAGACAGAAAAATCAGATCCCTGATTCCAATCTGACAAGCAATGGTGAAAATCAAAAAGTAGCTCTAATCATGTTAAGAATCAATGGCTTACCGTGCTGCTCAGATACTGCATCAACATGGTAAAATCATGAGTCCCCCCAACAGGAAGATTTCAAGCTATTTGAACTCTGTTTGTGAGAAGGGAAAAATGTCACCTATCCTACGATTTCTCCCTTAAAAGGCATTAATTACCTTAATTATTGGATTCCCTGGCACAAGGGTTGCATTCATATTCAACTTAAATCCACCAGGATTAAGAAAGGACAGACACTGAAGATACAAGGCTAACTAAACCAGAGAGAAGGGAAGAAATGAGATTAAGTGGCTGTTACACTTTTAGAATGTGCCCTTCTAAAACAAAAAAAAAAAAATGTAGTTCTAATAAAATTTGTGGTTTTGTTGCCTGCCATAAATATTTGCAACCATCAAATGTCTCCAGCACTTATGATACCAAAGGATGAACTGTTCAAATTTGACCTACACTGTGAATGTGAACATCTGCTTAAACAACTCAAAAGTAATTTATTTTTGTGCTTCTACAATATTATTAAACAATACTAGTAACACAAGCCTATGACTTAGTAGGTGCCACCTGAAAGTACAGAAGATGGATCTCCAGCAAAGCTGAACTATTTACAAAGAAAACCAAATATTAATTCTTCCACTTTGATCTATGCAAATTTGATTCACAAACTGGTCATTGGTCATCAGTGATTATTTGTCCCTGCTCACATCCTTAGGTTTAACTGCCCCTCAAAATGGCATTACATATTTCTCCTTATCTTCCTGTAATGCTGGTGGCACAAAACTGTACTGTATAAACTGCTCAATGTCTCCAAAAACCAGACGTAGCCTACAAAAAACAAGCAAGCAACAATTTGCTCTACAGTTAAATACAACTAATTTCCAGAAAATACCAGGTAGACAGTGTTGAGCTACCTATCAGGCTGACCAGCACTGTGTTGTTTCCTGTGCTCTTTGCTGGTCACCAAATATCTCATTTTAGACTGTAAGCTTCTCAAGACTATCTTCTCATTAGGCATTTGAGTAGGATCTATAGGCTCTAGCTCAGTGATACATTAGGCCATGACTGGGAGTCTTAGGCACTAGTTCAAATACACATTAAAAGGTGAGAACGAAAAAACAGCACTTCTCACTTCAAGAGCACCAAGGAGCATTTATACTGCTTAAAAAAAAGATGTAATGAAGTAATTAAACAATTGTGACATTTTAAAAGTGAAAGTTGGCATTCAGCATTCGAAACATTATCCTGCCTGTGAAATACCAGCTGAACACTTCTTCATAATGGGCTAAATTCATCCTCACTGTAGCACCAGTAAGATCAATGGAATTACACAGGAGGCAATATTTGGCCCTATACCATAATCCCTATAGCTGTCTCCCTTTTACTGCCTCCCCTCACTACTTCCC